CAGTTTGGATTTCTTTCAAAATGCTCCACAGAGTTAGGTCTTTTAACATTCACAAACTATGTTTTGGAATCCTTGGAGGAAGGTGATTCTGTTCACGTAGTTTGTACAGATTTTTCTAAAGCATTCGATAAGGTCAACCATGAGATCTTGATTAATAAGTTACATTGTCTAGGAATTTGCGGGGATCTTTTATCATGGCTGAAGTCTTACCTCACTAACCGAAAACAAATAGTGTGTATACAAAGCTTCCAATCAAATGAGATTAATGTGCCATCTGGAGTACCTCAAAGTTCCCACCTGGGTCCTCTTCTTTTCAATATATACGTGAATGATATTATAAACTGTTTTAAGTCTGTTAGTTTTCTAATGTTTGCAGATGATTTGAAAGTATTCTTAAAAATCAAATATAATGATTGTTTAAATTTCCAAAATGATTTGATTTCATTAAGTCTCTGGTGTCAAATAAATAGAATGGAACTTAATGTGGAAAAATGTCATTTAGTGATATTCAGCCGTAACAGGGACCCCATTGATCATACTTATACCATGAAAGGTTGTCCTCTAAAGAGTGTATCCCAAGTTAGGGATTTAGGGGTAATTCTTGATCCAAAATTATCCTTTATTACCCATATAAATATGATTGTTTCTAAATCTCTTCAACTGTTGGGATTTATAAAACGATGTGCTAAGGATTTTCATAATATTCAGTTATTTAAAACGTTGTTTTGTTCTTTGGTGAGGGCCCATCTGGAGTATTCTTCTTGTGTTTGGTCACCCAACTAGTTCAGGCAATTGAGAGAGTGCAACATAAATTCTTAAGATTCATTTCATTCAAACAAAACATTATGGTTGAAGATATTATCTATTCTATCATTGAAAACTCTCTCAATATCTCAACCCTTCAGGTAAGATCGAATCAGAGGGACCTATCACTATTTTATAATATTTTGCACTCTCTTAGTTTTGCTCCAGCACTTTTGAAAAATATCAATCTCCATGTGCCTTCTCATCAAACAAGACTGAATCAAACATTCCATGTGAGATCATTTCGTACTAATTATGTTAGTAATTCCTTCCTGTCTAGATCTTCAAGGTTAGCAAATCAGTATTCTAATAAGTTGGCTTTCTTCAGAAGTCAGAAAACATTCAAAATTCAATTAGATTCCTGTCTGTGATATTTAATATTTAATTTCCCCATATATTTAAATTCGTTTCAATTTAGAAATGATCTGGATTGTTTTAAGTGTTAAATATCTAAATCAAAGTAGGGTTAGGTTTACATTAGATTTTCTATGCTGTACTTTAATTGGGCAGTCGCTCGTTGATAAATAAATAAATAAATTATAAACCTACTTTTATGTTATCTATGCGAACGGGTTTTCAAGGTGTCAAATGACTTCCTCGGTCATAGAAATATGAAGGAGTGAATTAATGGTTTTAGTGGAAAACGAGAAAACGCTTAGATAAGTGACTTCGGGTATGGGTAATGCAGATAGGGACAATGAGCAGAACTGCGAATTGAGAAAAACAACCACTGAAATCTTCAGAATTTGCGAGGATTCATGATTGTTAAATTATATCATATTTTTATTTGACATAAGAATTCCTAAGCAGTTGTGATTTGTGTTCGAGTTCGAGCGAAGTCTCCAAACGGTATCATTTTATTTTTTGTTGGGTAAATGAATACTCATTTCAGATGTATGTGTATATTAATTAACATTCATGTAATAAAGGTTAAGAAGTCCACTATGCCCTTGGTAGGCATTCCACGATACATACAAGGATGGCGGACTACTACTGAAAACTTGCTATACTATGTTCTGTCAGTCGGAAGTATAGTCAAAGGTGAACAAACTTGAGCCTTGTGTCAATAGCTCGGAAGAATTATTATTATACAATAAACCGAATCACCGGTTGCTAAAAATACTCCAAGTCTAATAAATCATTTAACACGCCTCACCGGAAACGCTATAATACTTCTATTAGAAATATAGAAATGAATTCACCTACATGGTGCCCGGAAGGCTTTAATGGGTAATAGAACCTGTGAAAATAAACAGAAAAACTTTATGTAAGCTGTCGTTAATATTTCATTCCCTTGGATACAGGATGCGAAAATTATTTCATATATAAAATTCCAGGTACACGGAACTTCTAAGCGTTATTAGTTATAAATAAAACTGGAGAGATGTCCAATCACAAAATTTTAAAATATATCAAATAAAATCTTTGACTAAGAGACAGAGTCATCAGAAAATGGGAAAAATGCAGAAAAAGAGGCCTGGAAAGTAGAGCTCTTTAAAAAAATTTTTGACTTCGCTCATAAAACAGAAGCTGGAATAAAATCATACAGCGATTAAACAAATAAAAAGTGTAAAGGCTGTCCATGTCAAGAATTTGTGAAGGCTGGTGTGCTGGGTAGAATTTCGAACTCAGTAATCTGCATACTTTTCCCTTGCAAAGCTCCTCCCTCTTTAGTCAAGGTTTACTTAGAAACCAATGCTCAACAAAATTTTGCAACTACTAACGTTACGTACAGACATGAATAGATGAATGAAGATACTATAACCATTAACGTCAAATACGTGTACATTTAAATAGTTCATTGTAAGCCTCCATAAATCTTTTAATCCAGTAAACCTAATTGAACCACAATTTTTCAACGTGTATTATATACAGGGTGTTTCCCAATTGAATATCCATATTTAAGCAGTGATTTTTTTATTCATTTTAAGAAGAAAATTTCATATAAATGTATTTCCTAAACGTCTTCTTTTTTGAGATTTCTCTTAAAATAAAAAAAATTAACAATATGCGGTACATTGAAGAACCTCTTGTTATTAGATGGCATATGTATGCCAAATATCATTAAAACATCTAAACTGATATTTACAGATATTAATAAATTATTTATTTTTGAAAACTTTACCACCCTGTATCTATAAATTTAAGACGGTCAAAACATACGTTTATATGGGGTTTTCTTCTTGAAACAGGCTCAAAAATATTCTGTTTATACTGACAAGGCTGTTGCACCTTTTTTATCATATTTTCATTCGTTCTCAAAATACCGAAAATGTAAGTAAGAAAATTAAAATTGTTTTCTCTCTGAGAGAGTCATGCTCCGGTGTTCATGATGATCGGAGCTAGTCAGAGTATAGCAAGCAAAGTCACAAAAGAATAATGATTTGAAGCGCTTGAAATGTCTGGGCGCCTGAAAGCTCATCTTTGGCACAAATAGAATGCAGTACGGAGAAGTATCTGCGGAAGGTTATAGAACGAAACCAAATGAGCAACATAGAAATGCTAAGCAAAATCAAAACACGATTTTAAAACTACACCTTGCGAGAAGTTGTTGAACCGCCTTGTACTTTTGGGGATCATAAAACTAGTTATGTCACTAATAATAATCCGAGCAAGCCATGTGCGCTACATAGTAGAAAAATGAAAAGTAAACAATACATCCGGGTGAGAAGTAGGACTTCCTCCTGCTATTACCGTTTGTTTTGGATTTTCTTCTCCTACCAGACTCGCATATATATTCAACCGGGAACATATGCCGACGTTGGCTGAGCCAGAAGCGTGTGCTACTTTTGTGTAAAAAACTGCCTATTTATTTATCCTGCCATTTTTTGTGATTAATTTAGGATAGGTTGAATGCGGAAGAGCGAAATTTATCGAAGAAAATTTAAAACATGAGAGCCATTAGTAAAAAGTATAAACAATTAAAACGAAGCTTGGGCCAAATGTATGTGATGATTTATGAGTAATCTCAATATGTCGTAAACTACCTGTGTAAGTACTTTGGACCCATAGGTACTTTTCTTTTTTGTTATAAATGTCGAGTATTTTATTCTGAATCAACCGCGAAGGTATATCCTGAATACCTAAATACAGCGCCTATTATGAAATAGGTCAAGGTACCTTGCTTATCAGAATTTGTAACTGCCTAAGGTTAGTAGGAATCTCTTATGGCAGATTATGTCATAATTTTGACACCCTAGGAACAAAATAAAGGTCATTTCTCCAGTACTCGATGTTCCGAGTTCGACAAGTTGCGCCTCTTGTTAGCTAGGTATGAGGTAGGATAGAAGTTTGTATATTAAAGCAGTATGCAGCAGCTGACCTAGAGCTTTTGTACATATTATCAAGATCAATGACGTGAGTCTCACTAGATAAAAAGTCCTCCATCATCTTGCTGATCACAGTCATCAAAGCTTTGTGCTTGTGGTTAGGACCAGTCTTAGATACCTTTTTTAGAGCTGGTTGACGATGCGCAAAATTCTAGTTCTCTGGGAAAATTCCGGACCCTTCAGTTATGTGAAATAGGCGTGAAAGTCATGAAGAGTACATAGCAGCTTGGACCCCGCAGCTGAAGGGGCTGCAGGGTAGATCGAAATCCGGAGCCTCAAATTTTTTCTTGAGAAATATGAGAGGAGGGCTACTCAGACATTTCTCAGGATTGCGATTTGGTTTTGGTGCCTTTGAGGATTCCACACCAAGCCAAGTAGCTGGTAACGTGCTTCTTGTGTCCCTTGGTTAAAGACGGAATACCGCGAAAACACGGGTTTAAGCTTCGGTACAAAGGTCATATCGAGATCACGAGCATTGTTGGAGTCGAGCAATTCCAGTAAACCCCCTAATTCTCTTATGAACCTTTGATATCGGTATTTTGGTGGAGTTTTGATTATTTTAACTACTTATCCACCCTTTAGCATTTAGCTGATTGTTGGCATTTGACTTCGTTGGTCTATTGAGGCGACGACGCTCCGAAACTTCATTTTATAGTTCCATATTTAGTATGTATTATGAACTAGAGTTAGTAAAGCACTATCTTTCATAGTAACATCACGAAGTACAATCTCCCAATTAATCAAATGCATCTCATACACTGTTGTCGTGGTAAACATTCGTTATCACCGGCATATCAGCTTGTCGGTACTTCCTTTTCCAGTAGTACTATCCAGAAGCAAGCAGCGGACGTCACTTTCTTGCGACCGCTGGACATAAACGGTGGCCATTGTGCGTAGATTGGAATCAACAAACACACGGTCTGTCCGTCATCGGAATGACTCAGTGCATCGTGGTACGGCGATAACAGACTTTGTGCTCAATCGGGTGCTTGTGGTGAACTACTTTGTTAAGTTGATAGTCCCCGCGTTCTCTTAAGAAGTAGGTATGTAGTTTATATTCCTGGATACTGACTTTTGGGATTTTCTTGTCGGATCTGGAGTAAGCTAGTTTGACAGATGTCTGAAGTATAAAGATCAAACTTCTAAACTTGGCTTTGAAGGCCTATCTGTAACAGACTTGTACTTTGTTAAGGTACTTGCGTTCTGATAGGATATATTACATTACCATCTCTGTCATATACTTTTGCATAAAGTATCTTCAATGCATTGCTTTGGATTTGGAATACACTGCTGGTTCTGGGTTTTTAAGAATCTAATATATAATTGGTGTTTTGGATCTTTGTGTACCACAACATTTTAGGGATTAAGGCCCGTATCGTCAGTCGTCCCTACAATTGTAGTGCGCCTTTATGGCCTCCTTGATTGTCATAGTTTTCTACTTCTCCGTGCCAGCGCTCTATTTTGAGGTTATGTCACAAACATCTATTTGCATCAAATTGTGCTTGCTTTTGAGTTATATCATGTTTTATCAGGCTGAAATTTCCTACAATTTAAAAAGAAAACATGTCTTTACAATAGGAGAGCGCTGACGCTGACACGGGACAAGTGTAATCTAGAAATTTTTGAAGGAGAGAAAGGAGTCTGACAATCAAGGAGGCCATAAACGCGCCCTACAATTGTAGGGACGCCTGGCGATACGGGCCTTAGGGAACAGTCAAAAACTAGGAATAGCAACAATATTTCAGGCTGACGTAACGGCCATACAAGTTTGCGCAAAAGAACTAATACACATCAGTCGATCTCCATCTGATCAGACAATCAGGCACGACGAGAACACTCATCAAACAGTCCATAAAAGATTGGACCAAGAAAAGTCAGTGAATGGTGTAACGGTCGGTTAGGACAAGGCAGGCAAAACTGGTCATCAAAGAACAAAAGCGTGTGTCTACCGAGAACCTACTCGGGCCATAAAGTTAACAGAAAGGTATCGTCTAAATCGGCATGTGAGGCTCTTTGTGTCACTGCGAAGTCCTAGCAAGGCTAAGGTTTCAGATAATCGGAATCACTAATTCGCCAGCGAAAAGCTACATGTAAAGCTCGGTGTCAAGGTTATGGAATCTGAACGATCAAGGCTGGACATAGTGTATAGAGGCCGCAAAAGGTATACGTATATGTATATGGATCGCACTGACGTTCAGGCTCACAAGGTAACCTCTTACTGTAATCTGTAATCCCACAACATATTTCTGAAGATTAAGTACCGGCTCTCTCACGCTCAATCTTGAAGAAATCTCTACAACAGGCCATCACGTATTTGTAAGGTGTTGCTCTAAACTTTGTCGATTTTTTTATCCTTTCTGCCTCTTATGTGTTTCTAAAGCCATCATTGTTAGCTTTCTCATGCATAAATATTTGAAAACCTAAAAATTCACCGAAAAGTGATTGAAAGGATATGTACATGATGATTTTACTAAGTGAGACTTAGTTTTACATTTATTTATATTACATAATATGTAGGCCTTGGAGTTAGTTTTTTGTACTGTTTTATCATGTTGTTCATTATTCGTCTTAAATGACAGAAATACTTAGTCGTGATTGATAGCTTTTGAAGCTGGTAAAATCGTATCGTAACTATCCCACGAAATAGTGGATGCACCATCACTGTATTACAAGTTCAAAAGACAACTATTCTCGTATTTTTCTTTCCATTAAAGTTTCCTGCTTTATATTATCTTCATTCTTCTTTCAGTAGTGTCTCGTTCTGGGTTATATTATACGAGCCCCTTCCCACTTCAGTTGGGCCCAACTATTGAAATCTTAGTTTTTTTCTTATCAAACACAAATAATAAAAATGTAGCAGGGTGTTATAGGTTTAAAATATTAACAATGAATATTATGATAATATATAGTAGAAAACACCAACTTTACCACTCAATAATCGAATTTGCAGCATAAAAATAACACATGTTGCAATTACAGCATATCAACCTATTTTCATTTCAATGCAAAATAAGTCTATAACGCATAGGTGGCTGTGAAAAATAAAAGCCATGACAATTGTTTTTATTAATCACAGCTGTCAGAATACGTTTAAAATAGTTTTGGGTAGTTAAGGTTTTCAAAATGGGTAGAGGAAAGGTTATTAGTGAGAAAGTTCGGTTACTGATAATTAAATTTTTTAATTCTGGGAAATCAAACTCAGAAATTGCAACTTTGTTAGACTTATCGCGGTACAGTGTGAGAAATATTGTTAGAAGATATAACGTAACTGGTTCAGTTAATATGAAGCCACGATATGTGAAAAAAAAGTAATATCACAAATGCTGACTGAAGAGCATTAAGAAGAATAATCGTGAAAAACAGGCGTGCCAATTATTTACAATTAAGTGCTCTGTGGAGTGACGCTGTTCGAAGGAGAATTTCGAGGTCCACAACTCATAGAGAGGCCCACAAACTGGGATTTACCACTTGCAAGGTAAGTTTTCTTATAAAAAAAAGTGAAGTAAAAACCCTAAAGTTGCACAACTTGTTTATAGGCCAAAGAAAAGCCACTATTAGCTCCACTGCAAAAGAAAAATCGGCTTAGATGGGCCAAAGAACATAGACAATGGACACCTCAACAATGGTGTGCAATACAATGGAGTGATGAGGCCCGATTCGAAGTTTCGCAGTAGAGTTATTCGCAAAAAAATGAAGCATTCCATGTTGACTGTCTGAAGAGAAAAGTGAAATTTCCAGCATCCGTTATGGTCTGGGGCAGTATGTCATCAAAAGGAGTAGGAAAACTTCATTTTATTGATGGAAATGTGGATACCAACAAATATTTGGCAATTTTAGAACAATCGCTTTTACCAGTGATGGAAGAATGTTTGACATCCGGCCAAGATTTTGTGTTTCAGCAAGATGGTGCAGCGTACCATACCTCAAAAAAGGCTATAAAATGGATGGAAGAAAATAATGTACCACTTTTGAAATGGGTTTCTAGCAGTCCAGATCTGTCAGCTATTGAAACTTTGTGGCACGAGATGAAAAGGGTTCTACGACAACATCCTGCTCGTACAATCACCGAACTGAGACAAAAGCTTCAAGAAATATGGGATTGTTTTATACCAAATTTTTGACAAAACTTGGTTAACACTATGCCCCAAAGAATTTCAGCCGTAATAAAAAATAAAGGTGATGTTACCCAATGGTAACCTTTCAATTGTTGCTTTGTTAACTTCGCGCAATTATTCGCACATTTTTTATTTGTTCAGATGTTCTATTAGTTATAGGTCTAAGTATTTTTTACGACTAGAGTGTATCTAAAATGTTTTTGAGAAAATAAATTGTTTTAGAAGTAAATAGTTTCGTCATGTTTAGTTTATAAAGGCATATTTTGGTACAAATCTTGAAGTGGGCCAACTGAAGTGGGAGGGGGCTCGTACTAATTCAAAAACCAAATTAGTTTTGAAACTCAAGATATTAATCGTCCCGTTACTTTGATGTGCGGAAACATTGCTGTGGATACTATAATTTTAAAAACTTGTATAGTAGCGTAATATATTCATTGGATATGGAAGTTAAACTTCTTAAAAGGACAACTTTTCACATTACATATTTACAATTTTTTATGTATCTCTCTTATAATTCTTCAAAAGACAAAAATTAGAATTCAACATTTTGCATCCGTGCACAGAATTCATGAATGTCGATTAAGTACGGGAAGTGTTTTTATGTAAATTTGTACAAATTGAGCATCTCCTGGATGAGGTGACGTTGAGGTATTATATAATTTAGAGGTATGCAAATGAAGGCGGTGGAATATTAACATTCGCGCTGTTGTTCTTGATATCAACAAAATTGGTATAATCCAGCAAGTTTGAATTGACTTTGAAAATAATGTTTTGTATTTGTAATAAGGGCATTTTAGAAGCCTAAAACGTAGCAATACCTGAAGGTACAAATACAATGGCGACAGTCCGAGTTAAATTTATTGGAATTTTTTGAAAAAGTGAACAAAAACAACGGTCCTCCAGTTCGTAATTCATGTGAGCGTACAAGAGCAAGTAGCAGTTGCATTAAGGATCGGCTTCTGCAGTGTGCAATTTTTCTTAGGAAAGTTAAGCTAGTCAGTCTGCTTACTTATTTCGTATAACATTGTGACGTGGCCGCCAAAAACTGTGGGAAGAACTCTACATCACTTAGAGTTAATCTAATTTTACTGTGCTACCATTTTCCATTGTCAGAAGGATTTTTGTACTAGAGCGTTTTTCGCCTGTACTACACACAATAATTAGAGTGCCAAAAACTATATTGCTCGAAGTTACTTGCTCGATGGTCAAAGTAATACTTCGCCGTGTTAAAACACAAGTTTCTTTCACTTTCGTTAGTATTCAATATAATTTATAAATGTTTCAATTGTTCCAGGTACACAAAAAAGGGCAAACATGGACGACATCTTGATAGTGTCATTAAAATCAAGCGAGGCAGCTGCGTTATGGGTGGACTATTTTTCGAATTATTTCGACAAAATCAGCAAGCAGGCTAACAAGAAACCCTTCAAGTAAGTTTACGCATTATATTCATCAAAAAACTCTACTCCACCTAATTGAGTCTTCCATCTGCCATCTTCCTATTACAAATGCACCGAGTACTTGGTTTGTACCCGGCACTTGGCGTCCTCGACCGATTTTACCGAGTACACGGTTTAAGCGAGTATTAAATTACTCGGCCGGGTAATTACTGGGTCTGACCGCAAGACTCAGAACTTTTGTAAATCAAATAATTGAAAATGCGATATGCAAATTTTGGCCTCATATGACTTTCCTAAGGTTTCCTAATACAAATAAGTTCTCCAAAAATTTGCGCACCGTAAAGCAATATCCATGGTAACAGCATATTTTTGTCGCTATCACTTACTTGTTTCAGTGAATGTCTCCAGAACTAGGGTATTTGCGGTATTTGCTCAGCTGATTTATTTCATAGATTGCATACAAGATGTTACTACTGCATGGTTTCTCGTAAACAGTACAATAAGTCCATGGAGCACCTACAATAGCAGTTTAAACTTAAATCAGATGGTAATCTTAACATTATTGCATTTTTTATTTGCTCTTTTATCTTTCCTATGAACATTCAGAAAACAGCAAAAAACACAAAATAAAAAGAACAAAATGCAGCGAAAGTGGAAATGTAACTTGAATAGTATGCCGAGTGACTCTAAAGAAAACTTTCACTAATAGGTCAGAATAATTTATGTTTATTCCTTCCTAAATCTGAGCTGGTTCCGCCACATCAAGCCGTCTCAATTTGTGTTTCTTTGGTAACTTCCTCACTTCCTCTCAAAACACTCAGAATTTAAAGTCAGTGTTCATGGTGGCTACATTCTATAAGGTAATTTTTCGAGATTTGAGCAACATGGGGTCTCGAGCTGCCTACCTTCCACAGCTTAGGCTTAGGATAGACTGAAATGTCAAAATATGCTTTCGTTTTAACTTAGTACTGAAATATTTAAAAAACAAGACACTGATCTCCGGCACTTGCAAAAAATTGTCTAAGCTGCATAACTGTTTGTTTTGTGGTGCGTTAATTTAAAGGAAAAGTACATCAAGTTTTAGAATAAAGTTGCCAAAAATGCAAATATAATCTTGATATCACTATCAATAGCTGAACTATCCCAGAGCAAGTCGCTCCACCGAGTACCTGGTCGAAAATTTTGAAAAAGTAGTACCCGGTGCATTAATACTTTCTAGCGATCTTTTTCCTGGATTTTTCCTTGAATAATCAGTCTGAGATTTCTTTATTTTTCTCCCGTCATGATATGGCCTAAATACTGGGTTTTTCTTTTCTTGACCATGAATAATAATTCGCTTTGTTTTTTAATTATGTTTAATACCTCTATACGTGTCATTCTTTAGTTCATTTCTATTCTAATATCTGATCCTATGAAGTAAGTTTTCATGCTTTCTGCCCTGTTCTATTCTTCCATGAAAATGTACGTAAATATAAGATACGAGGGATGTCTTTTAAGTTTTGTATATGGAAATAAAACAGCACGGTAGGTAGTTTTAAATGACTTTATTGTTTTTCGAAGTATTCTCCACGAAGATTAATACACATCTGCATGCGCTCGAACCAATTTTCGAAGCACTTATTCCACTCGTTTGCTGGCAGATCCAAAACGGCATTTTTGAATGCGTCAACTGCTTCTTCTGGTGACTGGAACCTTTAACCACGCAGTCTGTTTTTAATTTTCGGGAAAGTAAAGAAATTGTTAGGACTTAGATCGGGACTATATGGAGGATGGTCCAATAATTCCACGTTTTCTTCCGTTAAATATTGCCTTGTTTTTTGGACTGTGTGCGAGCTTGCATTGTCTTGGTGGAGGATGATTCTTCTTTCGGGGTTGATTCTTCGAAGCTCGGTGATGACTTTTGGAAAACAAATGATGGTATACCAATCCGCAGTAACAGTTCTTTGCTCATTAAGAGGAATTGTTGCAATATGACCCGCTTTTGACACAAATGTCGCGACCATCTTTTTCGAAACACTTCGAGAATGGATGACTTTTGTTGGATTTTCTTCACCTTGGAACACCCAAACAGCCGACTGTCGTTTATTTTCTGGTTCATAACAGTAGATCCACGATTCGTCACCACTAAAAATGCTGTACACATTTTTTGAGTTTCCGGAATTGAAACGGTCAATCGTTTTTTGACACCAATTAACCCTTGCTGCTTTCTGCTCTTCAGTCAACAGGTGGGGTATCCAACGAGAAACTAATTTTCTTACTCCTAATTCTTCTTGTGAAATTTTTTGAATTGAGGTCTTTGAGATCTTCAAGGACGCCTCAATCTCCGATATGTCACAAGTCTATCTTCAATGATGAGCTTGCGCACAGCATCGATGTTTTCCTGGTCGACTGCCGCCGTTTTTGGTGCACCCACCCTGAGATCGTCGCTAAAACTCACCCGTCCACGTTTGAATTCTCCATACCAACGGGAAATTGTCGACTGATGTGGCGCTTCGTTGCCGAAAACAAACAGTAACTCAGCAAGGCATTCTTGTTGCGATAATTGTCTCTGAAAGTTGTAATAAATTATGGCGCGAAAATGTTTTCGGTTGAGTTCCATTTTTCTAATAACTTGGTGACACTTAAAAATTCACTGTAGTGAGAACACTGCACGTATTGTTGTGAAACTTTGAATTTAAGTTTACTAAAGAATGAGGTTAAGATTCAGTACTGACGTTCGATCCGCGCGGCCTACTATGATTCTATATGCAAAACTTAAAAGACATCCCTCGTATATACATATAACTATTTTCTTGGATCCTGGTTATTAGTATGTCCATGATTGGAAATTGATATGTGTGTCCTCTTTCTTACAATTTTGACGTAATACACCTCTATCAATTCCTTAGGGTACAGTATGTCGGTGCCGAAGACATACTGGGCAAATCGGTAGAAGACCTCCAAGAACTGCAAAAGAAGTCTTCAGGTGTCAAGTTGCAGCTAGTGGTGGTATGCCCTAGTTTCATGGAGTTCATTGCTCAGAATAGCGAGGAGTGCAGCCATCTAGGAAAGATGCTGTTAGCTGATCGAGCTCTGGCTCTTCTGCTTGGTGTTACTGATGATGATCTCACTGATGTTCATAAAAAAGGTAAATTTCGACTTTGAAATTATTATTATATTTTGCTGGTCAGGCATAAATAACATTTTATGTGTTTGAAGTTAAAAATTTCAAATTTCACAGTTTACATAGCGATTCCTGGAGAAGTTTAACATAACAAAAGTGTGCAGTAAATTATGGCTCAAGTCGTTCAACTGGAAAATGACATGAATCATTTTTTCAGAATACTTGGTTTGCAAGATCCTTTTCCAGAATTTGATGTGTAAAGGAATTTGCAGTTATTAGTTTATTGCTACCTTGTTGTTTTCTTCTATCAGCATGTGTCAAATATCACACTTTGAGAAGTGGGCAATAAACGTCCATTACATAGTCAATTGTACGAACGCACTCTATAAATATTGTTATAGCTGTTAGCAAGTGTTAGGTAGTGCAAGTAATATACGTCATCGGAAATGCTACGGTAAGCAGAGCAACTGCTTTGGAATACCTAGACGATGTTTCACTATAAGGGCGTGAATGCACACAGGATTAAAAATGTATTACTACTAGTAGATGATGTATGATTGTGGTATTACGATACGTTTATTGTCCTGTTGCAGTATTACCCTCATTCTTCCAATGGCAAAGGCAAATGGTGGGCCAGGACCAAGATGAAAATTTCACCAAAGAATTCCTGGGACAGGCGATGGCTATTCTTTCGAGAATTTGGAAACAGCAGAGTTCTGTCATTGCTCAAGAAAAGGCGTGCTTTTCTATTACACCAAAGAAAATTAGACAAGTAAGCTACTTAATTGCATCCATGAAATCTGTTGAGCCAAACCTCATACTAATACTAATATAATTCTACACCAAAATTGCATGCACGAAAAAAACGATAATGTAACGTAATAATATAAATATTATTGTTTATCTTTACTTTCAAGTTGAAAATAAAAATCAATGTTTTTTTGTTGAGATAGGATATGGATAAGACTTGGATTTAGAAGACAATACAATTTTACGCTCAGTCTGCGAAAATCAAAAGTTCACCAATATTGGCCTAACAAACAAGGTTAAAAGCCTCATTAAAATAAACTAACCCCAAAATCCTCCTCGGGGTGTTATAGAACAAGGTTCAAACTTTGATTTAGATACTTGGCGACCTCAAGAATTCAAATTTTTAACCGAGTTTTCAAGCATTGAATATTTTTTTACACCAAAGCAGCCGCACAGGCAGAAGCTTAAATGCTAGGATACCGCGGCTGCTATGAAGATCCCAAAGAGATTTTGTTTAATCTTAGAACTGCCTAAGGTTGCTAAAACTGGGCAAGCCTCCTCTTGTAGATTGTTCTACAATATCGACACATTAGGGACAAAGGAGCGATCGTATCGTATAGTTCTGGATGTACGAAGTTCAACATGGTTAAGATGGGATGCCAAAGTCAGGCGGATACGTCTGGGAGGCACATCTCGCGGCGACATCATGGAGGAGAGCTTTGAAGAGCGAAGCCCGTGGTGTAGAGGTTTTTCAGATATTCAATCGCTTATAAATCGAAAATGGTTAACTGTAGAGAAAAGTTATTAAAAGTATTTTTTGTTCAGAATGATCCAGACAATTTGATAAAAATTCGTGCGAACAAAAAACAACGTAATTCATAAAAAGATGTTTAAACAAATTTGAACTGGGCTATATTAAATGCCTAAATACTCCGTTAAAAATTATGAATTTGAGTTTAGTTTGCTTTGAAGCGATTTTGTACCTTGTTTCCAAAGCTAGAGAAGTTTTTTTTTGCCGACTGTACATTCACTAAGTAGAATTAATATCGCCTTAAAACCAAACTTACCTCTAAACCTTATATTCTTTTGCAGGGTCAAAACAGCGTATTCGTATTATTAACGTACCCATTACAAAAAGAAGATCAAGTGAAGATAAGCGTCGAACGTAATGGAGAACTTCACGAAGTTCGCTCCGTAAAAAGGCGCAACCCCTACATCATGAAGTTTCAAATGCCGGAACGATTGACTGAAGTAACCGCTATCGTCCACGTGCTCGTAGAGAAGAATGGGAGTATTATAGGCAGCAGACCCTTAAAGTGCGAGAGCAAACTCAGAGAGTTGGAACAGTGTCTGAGGACGGTGGACGATCCGGTGGAATTCATGTGCCAGGTAAAGGCATTTGTACTAATATACTAATGGAACCTGTTCATTTGCTAGGTGCACTCGCTTGAATTATATACGTCGAGAACTGACGGTATAAAATCGCTCATTTGTAGATTATCGAAGATATAGAACACTAGGGTAAGTGGAAGTGCTTTCAGTTTTACTGAAGGCCGACGCAGAAACCTTATAGCTTTTAACTAGTATTCTTAAAATTTATGGAAAAAAGTGTCAAGGACCCAAAGTTTTTTCACGGGTATTGCATCCTATTGTGGGTTCGGTACAGGATAAGTGGTTATTTGATATTTAGTTGCGTTCTTATCATCCCTGCCAACTGGTTCACCATCATTGCAATTCTATTACATGTACAGGATGTGGAGTATTTCTCTGAAAAAAAAATAGTCGAAATTCATTCCCGGTTTAGCGGGGTCTTTTCGTAGTAAAACTTTTACTTCTCTGAATTTTTAGAGGCTACTAATTAACGATTCGTAAACTTAGTAAATGAGGTAATTAAAACGTTTTCTTTATGTTAATAAAGTGTTATGGAACATATACGAATATATTGCATTTTTAATATAAATACTATAAAATACTCAGCATTATACATGTGTATCCTATTTTGCTACAATCCAATAATTTAATAAAAATGGGTCATCAGAGGACACAAATTTGATTACTGCAGCTCCGGCACGCCGAGATAAACTCCATAATTGCATGCTCTGAGTTGGAAAGGAGGACTGCTGGTGGAAATACACAATTATTTCTCATTTGTTGCTGTTTCCAAGTGTTACGATCTGTTATCGAATCAGAAAATAAATTACAGAATTCTGCGAGACACGTAATTAATTTCGGTTTAGTACCGATTTAATCCGTCAAGAAGAAATTATAAAGAGTTTATATGTCTCATTAAAAGGACATTGTAGATAAAGGTATGATAAATATCAGAAAAGATTTATTGACGTAAATATTTACGTCAATAAAGCATTATAAAGATAGCAGACAAATGGATTTAGTTATGTAGAGCTGATTGAAGTTGATTAAAAATACCTAATATTTAACCATCAAATTTTTGTAACTATGATTATGGAAAGTTACATTGTTGAAAAAGTCAGTTCCTAAACTACAACATAGCTTTTGGAGAACTACTTATATTTCAATTCAGAAATGTAGTCTAGTAGGAAGATTCATGAAATCAACGCGTGATTTGAACCAAACAATTATAACACAAAAAATCATTAGAACAAATTACCAGGGCAACGTATTTGGAATCTGACGACCGGACGATCCTTATGCCAAATCATTTTACTCTTAATGCAAATGAGAGCAGAAGATAGATTGAATTTTCAAACATTTGATTTCAGACACTAGGTTTCAGTCCAGCGGACAAAGACCATTTAGACAGTTGGTTGGTGCATGCTCTCCAAAGGAATATGCCTCCACATTTCAACCTTCTGGCCAACAATGACACTCCATTTGCAGCGTCTGTACAAGTACACAAACACAGTGAGTAAAATACTTATTTTAACTTTATGGCCTAGTTTAACCGTTGCTCGTGACTGTTCAAACTTTCTTGAATATCATGTATAACTTTTTAAAAGTTGCATCGTTTATTAGGCAACACAAAATTCACTTTTATTTATATTGCAGGTCCCGAAGAGTACCCAACCCTTCTTCATTTTGCTGCGAAGTTTGGTCTCGAGAAATTGGCCATGCAGTTGCTTGAATGTCCAGGTGCCGATCTGGCCTACGAAATTAGAAATAACCAGGATATGACGCCTTTAGAAATTTCTGAAAATAACGGCTTTCCTGAGTTGGCTTCAATGCTTCGGGGATACATGGTAAGTTACCGAGTTCACATTTAAGGAAGCCATTACCCCTCAAACATGAATCCTACGACCACCAATGTGCCCCCTCCCCTAGATTCCTGAATCCTCCACTGAAGAAAGATATATCAGGTTTTTGTACTTGATATCAAAAGCTTGTAGTATATTTATGGTGGAATCTTTAATATATTTTATTATTTATACATTTCACGTCTGTTTCTCATTTTACAGAATATGAACGAATTCACAACGATGTACTCACAGCTGAAAGAAATGAGTCTTAACCCCAAGCCCCCAGAAGTTGGTAAGTCATGTCATTATTTTAGGTATATAACATATACCTACCACAATCTAAAGATCCCCATAATATAGAACTATCAATTTCTAGCAATGATAAATTAATTCAAAAATGAATTCCTTAAAGGCATAAAATATTGCGGGTTCTCCAAAACCGTTCACTGTTCTGAAGTAAAATCATCATATTTTGTATCAACTACAGAAATCCTTAGTCTTGAGAAAGGAAGTACATCTTGAAAGCTTTTTGCTTGCTTGAACATCTTGGTATATGACAAATTTATTATTGCAGATGACGATGGTTACATGGTTCCAAAAAACTGCCAAGAGTTCTACAAAATGTGTCCGGCACCGCGACCCGTAGAAAGTACCCCCGTTACGACTCCTTCAAGTGACTGGTCAGGCACATACCAAGGGTATATGGCCATGAACACACCTGGTAAGTTAATTTCAATGAAAATTTCAAATTGTCAATTGTTTATCACACTAAACACAAAGATAAATAATTCACACATCATTACATTTTTTTTCAAATTCAGTTTTCACTTTGGTTCCACTAAGCTACGGTAATGATAATCTGTTATATGTTTTCCTTAGTAAAATTCTCGACTATTTTGGGCAAAGTTGGATCGGATCCTTCTACAAAATATTGCAAATATTTGTACTTTTGTACGAACACTTTCATCTCATTTTTATTGGTAAGGCACGATAAAAACAAATGTATTTAATCTTTTTTAGCCGCTTCGACATCGAAAGAAGACATCACAGTACCTGTCACCGTACATTCTCCCCCTCCCTTTAGATTTGAAGATTCCAAAACATCTTCCAAAGAAGCCTTGAGTCCGGCCCCTTTAGAAGCCGAACTAGTCCCTAAGCAAACGAAGCAAACAGCGAAGAATAAGCAGAAACTGGAGACCATGGAGGACAAGGTTCAAAGGGAGTTGCTGGAGATCATCAACGATTTTAAGAACAACGTGCACTCCATCAGTCAAGTAGAAAAACTTGTAGATGAATGGAAAAATCGTAATGACGTTCAAAAGTCGTTCAAGGAGAAGCAGCAACAACTTGCTGAAATGAGAATGAGGTAAGTTACACACTATATAGGTGATAAACAAAATAATGTTTGAAAATTAAATCGCAAGAATCAGAGAGAAAGGTTCGTCATCTCATTTGAACCCCCCACATTACTCAATCTAGGAGGCTGCTAAATAGAGTTATCTAGAAACTGTGACTTGTGACTCATTCTATCAAACGTCGCGTCGCACAGTGGTCTAGAACTGCGAAAAGCTATCAAAAAACATAATTTCTACAGAATTTATACGATTCAACCTTGGCCGCTGATTTCAAATCTGAGGTTTGAAGGTCACTTCAAGGACATCTTCAAACGAAGCCGAGTCAGTTGATCCCAACCGCATGTTATTTAGGTTTGTCTGTTCACTATGTCCGAAATAGACGTCAGTACTCATTATAAGGGCATCTGAAGGTCAGTTCAAGGTGCCTTCAAAGACAAATTCAAAATAAATTCAGCATCCCAGTCCAAACGCGTGTCATATATAGATTTCCGCGGTCGTTAACTACAAATCACAGATCAGTTTGTTTGTGGGTGGGATTTGAAGGGAATTTTGAGGCCACTCGAAGGACACATTCGAAAAATGTTGAAAAACCGTTTCGGATCACCTGCCATAATGCAAATTTCAAAAATAAGTAAAAAATAACACCATATATATCTGTCCGTACTTTAAGGTCACAATCATCATTATTCACTTCAACTGGGGCAAATCTAACATATTTGATTTTTTTCAGGTATGAACAAATCCAATCTGAGATGAAACGTGCAATGAAAAAACCTACTCCATTTGACCGAATCAAAAAGATGTTCTGGAGAAATAAAGACAAGCAGCACTCAGAACCGATCCTGGTGACCTCGGGACCAACGATAACGATAGCTCCAACCCAAAGACCGATCAGTAGTCTGAGTACATCAAGTTCAGGATCTTCTGGGAGGATGAGCACCATCAGTGGATGCAGTCTTGGGGATAGCGGGACTCACTCTGATAATGAGGAAAGGAAGGTAAATGATATTTTAAAAATAATATCCACATTTAGTCCAGTCCCGTTATGTGTTTTATTTAAGAAGTTAACACATTCGTTCCTTCATCATTATGTACTTTTATTTATTGTTCAAGACAATGTGGGGATACAAATATATATCGGAAACTGATACGGAAATCCCTGCAGTGAAAGCGTCATAAAAAATCCATTATTTCTTTGCTCTTTTAGGCGATGCTGGCAAGCCATTCCGAAGATGACTTCAGGAACAAGCTGAACAAAGCTGTTCTAGAACTAAACTACTCAACTGTACCGGCTCCGAAACCAGTCAAGCTGTTTCCAGCCAAAAACACGTTCGAAACTATACAGGTAATACTGGTTTTCTAGGTATTTTATTTAAACCTAATAATGTGCGATCCAATAGTGCAATCTTACAATTTTTCGTAACAAAACGCTGAAGCAATCGTAACGTGTTTCACTTTTATTTGAAATGCATCCACAGACTGACATTAACATTGTTGGACTACCCATCAGATTCCGGATTATTATATGCGAAGTACTAGAATGAATACAAAACTAATCGTATAAGCACAGCCTAAATAACATATTGTTATCTAAGCACAGATAAGTCCTTAAACCGAATGCCCTATTTGCCATGTCAATATAAGAGTATGTACAATTTACATGAGTCTAATATGTTTAGGTCGCACAGATTCCAATTCAAACCCTCTGCGGTAAGAAGCTAACATAATAAATTTATGGGTTTTTTATATTAGACCAGTTTAGCTTATTACCCGACATTCAGAAGCTTCCTGTTCAATCTTCAAAACAATATTAACTATGTCGTTTTTGTCCTTTTTCTAGATATTCAGATATTCACTATAAAAAGTACCAGTATTTCTACCAATGATTCTCAGGCATGAAGAATTCATTGTATTTTCACATAAATGCGACTCCCCCAATTTATTGATTCCTTTTCTTCACTTTTACAGGAAAAACCTCTGACAAGGCCAGACAATCTACCATTAAGTGAAGAATTCTATATTCAGTTTCCACCATCAGGACTACCAGTGCCAGGTAACTTAATTAATAAATTATGTGCACTAATGATCCTTGAATAATCATTTGAATTAGACAAACACAACAGAAACTTCGTTAAATGAAATACTTCAATAGGACTTGCAAGAAAACAGATTATTTTTGGCTGAACCACTCTGTTAAACATTCAGGATGGCAAGCACCAACCAAGAGAATACAAAACTAAGTTTGTTGCTGAAAATATTTGAAATACGTGGTGAAATTTGTTTCGTATTCATATATTTTATAACACTAGCCCCAGTATGAAGAACATCATCACTTATTTGTAAAGACAACTCCTACAGTATATTCAGATAAGAGATAGACCGGATGTAAACAAAAGGTTCGGGTGATTTTCACGCTAACGCCGCCGTCTCGACGTAAAACAGGAGCCCTCATTGGTCAATTCGCAATTAAATGCCTATGCCGAACGGCAGAGCAGTCGTATCAAGGCAGAGTCACATTCAGGTTCAGACGTGTTACGTATGTCGTGTGCATCATTGCAATTTGATATTTCTTTGGACGTTTTCGTTTGTTATCTTAGTAAGTTGTTGAGTTTGTCGTTGTTATTGTTATACCTTGTTATAATTATAGGCTAATTTAAACGCCATTTTGAGATTATATTCGACTGTATTTCACCAAACATCAGACGGCATCCGAAGCTGGAAATCGAAGCGAAAATTTTGAAACCCTTATGTATATTTACATCATTATATATTTCTTACCCCACCCCCACATGATCCTATATCCATCACCAATCGTATACACATCGAATTGTGCTAATTTACTACAAAGTTACGCAAAGCAGCATCTTCTATCTAAAATATGTACTGCGTGACTCTTAATACGTCGCTGCCGAATGTTACAGCGTTCGATGATCACGTGGTCTTGTTTATGTCCGGTCTATCTCTTATCTGAATATACTGTAAGGTCACCAATTTTATACATTTTCAGTAACATAGGTACTGATTTAGTTTTAAATTCTCCTGGATGGTGCTCGGCAGTTTTAGAAGATTATAAACATTTTAGGGTATACATTTATAGATTTTAATTGTAGGTTTGCAGAATCCAGAAACAGACGATTCTCCAAAAACAAACGACTACATGAACGTTTCAGCTAACTCCACACCACAGGGCCACGAGTATATGAACTTCAAAGTCCCCATGGCCAGATAATTGTTGCAGTGTAATATATATTTATATGAAAAAGTCATTTGTGTAAAATATTTAAAAGAATGTTTTGTATTAAAGTGATATTTATATGTAATTTATTGTGTTGATTGTATTAAAAAGTTTCGTATGTCATATTTTATGTAATTTTTTATTTTGTACATTTTTATAAAATATAACGACTTTTGTAGTATGTATACTCGGTTGTTTAATTCATGATAGCAAAACTTTTCATATCAAAGAATTACGGTATCTGTGAAGCATATTAGCGTCTTTCTATTGTCAACATATACAAGCATTCAAAATACGATGGTCAAAGCTTGGGCTCAATCCAGAAGACTGGGAAATTGGCCAATACACATTTCAATTTCAAGGATACGTACCTCAACTTGGACAATACATTACAAATCATGAAAAAAATCAGGCGTCAGCTGCAGTCGTATAGCTAACGTATTATTTTTTCTTTTTAAGTGATACAAAAAAAATCGGCTTAGATGAGAATAAAAAACCTTTACCATTTGTCTTGCAAATTATCAGCATAATATAAAAAACAGCACTCACAAAATATAATTCATCGATTTGCCCCATTTTGCACTGAAAAGTTTCTTGGCACTATCACCACCGATCTTGAACGTAATGAAGATTTCAAACGCTGATAATCACACAGAGACACGTCAATCATACCTCACCAACACATTTATTCGATGAGGATAAACGTTTCCCTATAAAATGAGTAAAAAAAAAAGAGCCCCGAAAAAGACCGCGAAATCATGTACACCCCGGTAAAACCGTTAAAAACAATTGAATTCAGAATAGTTCTTACCAGCCAATGACAGTTATCATTTTTCTAAGAGTCCTTGGATGGTGAGCGGGGCGCCTGTTTTCCGGGAACTCCATATTATAGTTTAGTCGACAAGTGGACATAAATATTTTCAATTACTTAGCTGGATATTTACATGTGGCGCGGATTTTTAAAAAATGACATAAATATGGATGTGATTTTAAAAAAAATGCAAAAATTTAGTCCAGCGTGTTATCTTCACGCCTATGGTATTGCAGGTTCAAAAGCACCTCATTCTTAGTAATCTAAATATAATAAAATATGATAGTATCTACTCATAGTTATGATATAGTTTGGATTGAAAGATGCAAATGAAACTTGAGATGGATGATTGGCTTTAACGTGAGTTGGTATTAAAAGAACTTATCTCTTTGTGTGGTTGGTTAGGAGAACAACACTCCAGTTATGTCCCAACCACTTGGAATGTGCAAGGGGTGAAAGCCAATAAGAAGAGTTGGCTTGTCAAAGAGGGTTGAAATAGTGAATATGGAACTATATTATTAATCTCCCCTGAGTAGTTACTTCCTCATACGGATCAATTACTCAAAAAATGGCGTTATCCTCCCTTTAGACAAAAGCACTTGTGATAACCTTTTGGCAAGGTGCTCCAACTGATATCAGGAGAGACTCTAAGAATACTGGTGCGCAAATTTTCATGCTGAGTGTATTGCATTAGCTTGGCAAACCGTTGGTAGGTGCCGTACATCACCTACCTGCATAAAAAATTTTGAATTTTCAAAAAGACCTTACCCAATTGTTTGCTTCCCGATCATCTGTCTCCAAGATTAGACCTATACCGCCCTGATGAGATGCTACTAATCACAAAACAGTGCTGTCTTCCATTTGTCATGTTTACAGAGACGAAGTGCAGCATGTCCTTTTCAGTGATTGGATCAGGAATCCCAAACAATGAAAATCAATAAACAGTTTATGACTTACTTTACTCGCAACAAAATATTATAAAATATAGTCGGTACACATCAGTCTACACAGCACAGCACATACATTTCATACACACTTTTATACGAAATCCAAACAGATTCAGTGCCTAACCTCTTGATAGTACCCTGAAGAAGGAATGACAGGCTTTTCTTGTGAAAACTTCTTACCTGAAAAAAGAAAAAAGCATCTTAATGTTTGCAAAACCCTTTCAACGTTGGGAAACTAGAATACAATGAAAGAATTAATGAAGGTCCATACATCAATGTAGGTGGAAATGAGTAATTAGAAGACAAACCTTCAGTTGGAACCAAGGATGAAGGTCATTCCGTATTTTTTGGTTGGACTTTGTATATCGACCTTCTCTTCAGATGTTTAGAAGAACTGAAGTATATATTATTCAAATATAAGAGGATCTCTGAGCCATGAAATATAAGTTGGCATTAGTTGAGTCTAGTAGAAAAAGACAATGGAGTTTACCTAGTGGCTTGAGCATTTTTTCCTGTCTCTTCTGTTGTTGCTCCCAAGCCTTACGCTCTCTTTCTTGCCTCTTCTTCTCTCTAAGTGCTTTTTGAGCATCTTGGTCCAAAAGATCACTCTCCCAGCCAGAAGATTCATCCCACTCTCTCAATTCATCTGTTATCTGTAACAGAAGCCAAACATATTCTCAAAACTCTATGAAATAGGGCAAAACAGTCAATTTTTAATATCAATTCAGTGATTTCATTATTAGCTATTCCTTCTTTTCCTGAGGTCAAATGGAGAGTGGGCCTAGTGCCCAAATTCCCAAAAATCCGATGTATGTGTACCCTCCCCTCATCCAATTTTCCCTAACATCAAAAAAAGGGCCCAGATGTTACTCTGGCTTAGGGCCCCTTCAGCCGCAGGTCCAAATCTTTCTGTATGTCCAAGGGCCCCTACTTAGCTTAAGATGGCCCAAATTATCAACTATAATTGTTCACTGATTATATTCAAATTTTATAAAAAAAATGGCAGATTTAGAAGTAAAAAATCAACCTTGAAATGACCATTTTAAGGGGTACATGTTAAATGGATGACATATGAGTTGGGTTGTATTTTCTAAAAATGTACTATGCGATGATCCTACTGGTAAAATATTGAAATAACGTTGACACGAATATTAATGTTGCACATATACTCACAATAGAATCTACTGAGCTCTCATCTAAGCTCAATCTATTACCACTAGTTTTATTAGCTTCCTGTTGACCTGTGTTGAGAAGTATTTTTGTTTGTTTGGTAATCTTTGGTGTCATATCTTCAAAAAAATTAAGTTGCTCCTCAGCTTCATTTGACTCTTTTAATAGCACAGCTTGAGTCTTCTGCTTCCTGTAATGAATCCAGATGATTGAATTGATAAGAAAATGTTTTGGAACAAATGGAATGGAACCAATATGTTTTAATGTGGGATTCTCACAATCCTAATAATGGAGTTCTTTGATGTTGGATGATAGAGTTACACATTCAAAATCTAGCCCATCATACCTAAATATTTACCTTTTAGCACTCATACGCATTTAAGCGGCTGTTTTTGTCAACTTTGAAGAAGAAGCGGTCCTTTATTTTGCCGCACTTACTATTACCTAAGCAAATTGCTCCAGTATATTGAGTTCTCTAAAATCTGATCTCTGCCTGTATTATGTGTTTTCAATATTTAGCTCTATTGAACCTTCAAAAATGTAGAGAATCCGTCAATTATCAATAGTTATGGGAACATTGCCATTTATGGTTATATGTATATATACGAGCCCCTTCTCACTTCAGTTGGCCCAACTATTGAAATCTTAGTTTTTTCTTATTTAAACACAAATAATAAAAATGTAGCAGGGTGTTATAGGTTTAAAATATTAACAATGAATATTTTGATAAAATATATAGTAGAAAACACCAACTTTATCACTCCCTAATCAAATTTGCAGCATAAAAATAACACCTGGGTGGCTTTGAAAAATAAAAGCCATGACAATTGATTTTATTAATCACAGCTGTCAGAATTCGTTTAAAATAGTTTTGGGTAGTTAAGAGTTTCAAAATGGGTAGAGGAAACGTTATTAGTGAGAAAATTCGGTTACTGATAATTAATTTTTTTAATTCTGGGAAATCAAACTCAGAAATTGCAACTTTTTTAAACTTATTGCGGTACAGTGTGAGAAATATTGTTAGAAGATATAATGTAACCAGTTCAGTTAATAAATGCCGACCGAAGAGCATTAAGAAGAATAATCGTGAAAAACAGGCGTGTCAATTATTTACAATTAAGTGCTCTGTGGAAGTAAAAACCCTAAAGTTGCACAACTTGTTTATAGGCCAAAGAAAAGCCACTATTAACTCCACTGCAAAAGAAAAATAGGCTTAGATGGGCTAAAGAACATAGATGGACACCTCAACAATGGTGTGCAATACAATGGAGTGATGAGGCCCGATTCGAAGTTTGCGTTGGTGACAGTCGCAGTAGAGTTATTCGCAAAAAAATGAAGCATTCCATGTTGACTCTCTGAAGAGAAAAGTGAAATTTCCAGCATCCGTTATGGTCCGGGGCAGTATGTCATCAAAAGGAGTAAAAAAACTTCATTTCATTAATGGAAATGTGGATACAAACAAATATTTGGCAATTTTAGAAGAATCGCTTATACCAGTGATGGAAGAATGTTTGACATCCGGCCAAGATTTTGTGTTTCAACAAGATGGTTCAGCGTGCCATACCTCAAAAAAGGCCATAAAATGGATGGAAGAAAATAATGTACCACTTTTGAAATGGGTTTCTAGCAGTCCAGGTCTGTCACCTATTGAAACTTTGTGAAGCTTCAAGAAATATGGGATTGTTTTGCACCAAATTTTTGATAAAACTTGGTTAACACTATGTCCCAAAGAATTTAAGCAGTAATTCAAAATAAAGGTAATGTTACCCAATGGTAATCTTTCAATTGCTGCTTTGTTAACTTCGGGAATTTATTTGCACATTGTTTATTTGTTCAGATGTCCTATTAGTTATAGGTCTAAGTGATTTCAAATATGCATTTTTTACGACTAGAGTGTATCTAAAATGGTTTTGAGAAAATAAATTGTTTTAGAAGTAAATAGTTTCGTCATGTTTAGTTTATAAAGGCATATTTTGGTAGAAATCTTGAAGTGGGCCAACTGAAGTGGGAAGGGGCTCGTATATATTTTATAGCAGAGTCACTGCTGAGCCACACCAAAAATCTTGTCACTGCAGTATTTTCTAAATATCTGAGGCTACTACAGTGATACATATTGAAAACACATAACACGGGCAGTGGTCAGGTTTTATCAAATTATGTATACTGCAGCAATTTTTTTAGATGACAAAAGCAGGAGAAATTAAATGCAGGCCTCACTCCCAACCAAGATACTCAACATGACCAAGATTTCTGAGAAATTAGTAAGTTCATTTGAAATGGCTATTAAAACTATCATTCATTAAGGGATTGATGCATGGTTTGACCAACTATTTGCTAAGAGTTAACTGCTCTCAAACTAATGTTGAATATCATGTAAGAAATCTGACAATAGGGGCACGTTTTTCTAGTAATCTGAATGGAAAATGTATTAGCAACTTTTAGAGATAGACACAACTTGTATCTAAAAAAAATTGAAACTAAAACAATTTTTATTTTTTAGAATAGCTGCCTTTTTACTGTGAATAGTATTCACATTTTTCATTCATTTTTCATTGTATTCACTTAGTTTGAGTACAAACTACAAAAACTAATTGCAGGCTTACCCATATTGCTGATAATGTTTTTATTATTTAGGCTAAAATGTCCAAAGTCAGATGATTGTTGAAAATCACAAAAATTTAAAGATTTCAAAAACTACTGATATTCACTATACAAATATATAGGGCCAAACATTTTAGGCTACCTATCACATCCTGGAATGAATATGAAGGATTGGCAATAACCCTGTATAACTGCATATGACTCACAGCTATGCAGGAGCTCCTGGGCACAGAGGAAGTTTGTGGTGTACTGTTGAAGGAGCCCCAGGCCAGAGTAAAATCTGAGGCCCTACTTTGCCAATGGGAAAAACTGAAGGGCAGGAGAAAACTAACTTGTTTTTAAATTATGTTTGATTATCGCGCATTTGACGGCCACCCATCACACTGAGGCACTGAACATGGGACCTATGTTTGCATAAGGTAAAGACAGAATACTGCTGCAATTATTGTCCATGACAGTTTAAAGAATCATATTAAGATAATGAGCAATGCATACAACGTATTTCTATTTACCTGTAAAGTTCAATATGATCCTGGACAGTTTTGGGCTCCTTCTGAGCCAGATTATCTTCCCATTCCCAATTTTGAAAGCTTTCTTCCCCTCTGCCTGAGACAACATGAGTAAGTGGGACACATTCAGAGTTGCTATCTCGTCTTCGCCGCTTAAAACAGCACAAGGCTCTCCCAAACAAATTTACCAACAATAAAACTAGGCTTTTCAGTTTGGTGATAACCACTGAAAATATCATCGTTTCGCATATGGGTCCGCAGCCCTAGGTCAGGTGAAGGTTGCTTCAACTCAACAGTACTGTAGCATAGCTTAAAGGTTTCAATTTAACCGCAATGAAGACTTCTACTTCAATGCACAGATAAAATATCAAAAACCCAGTAATTTCATAACAGAAAAATTATAGGTTAAAAGAATGACAGCTTTTCATATTCATATGCGCCTTTGGCGTAGACAACCTGACCAAAAAGAAACTTACGGTGTGATTCGGGTTGCGTGTATCTACTACAATCTCAATTAAAGGTCAACGGATATTTTGTGATTATGAATGATTTAAAAAAATGCAGATTGTATTTTATTTGTAGACATCAGGTGATGATCAGTGATATTACGGTCTAGCCAACCTCTATCATCTTATGGAATTTGGTAAGTGTAAAACTTAAATTACAATGAAAAAAGCTGTAGATGGAGGAGTATGATACCCACAGGACTGCTGCATTTCCTTAAGGGCTAACAACAAAGTGATGCCAAAGAGGTGGTAGTGTACCTGGTTCAAGATACGATTATTTATTATATCTACTAAATCACTGGTCTTACTTGAAATAATGAAATATTTATAAAACATTCTTTTTTATATTTTGAAGTATACAAATTGTGTAATAAAGTTTTATAAAAAAGCAGTTCCCGAAAATTAAAAATTTTCATACTTAACTACATGAAGAATGAAAGACTTATCAGAAATACTATTTTTTAATAAATGGAAAAACCATAATACAATTCTTTGCAGCTTTAACAGTACTCCACCTTCCAAATCTATGTTCTTTCCCAATGGCAGCTAACAACTTGTCTCCCTCAGAGTTAAAAGACATAGCATTCACAAACCCTTCTACAGGAATCTCCATCACTAAACTTGAGGTTTTAAAGTTGTTTTCCAACTTCCAGAGCCTTATAGAGCCATTCTGAGAACCAGATGCAACAAGGTCTGTGTTGACAAGAGCTGCCACAGCTGAGATCCAATATGGTTGCTGATTGCTTTTATCAAGTTCATGTGAGTTGTGAATCACACAGACAGGCTTCTTTTTCATTACACTCCAAATGCAGAGTTGTCCATCATCACCTCCTGAGATAAATATGTCTTCATTTATCAACCTAACAGTGTCTATGCTACCAGTATGTCCATTGAAAATCAACTGGGTTTCTTCTGGAATCTTCCAAACCCTAAGGTCTCTTCCTCCGCAACTTACAAGACGATCTCTGTATAAGCTGTCTATTGATGAAATGGTGTCTTGATGCCCAAATAGAGTCTCTACATATGCCATTTCATCTAAACTCCATACTTTAGCTGTTCTGTCTTTTGAACATGAATACAGTGTATGTGAGTCCTTTTTGAAGCAGAGACCTGTTACTGTGTTTTTGTGTCCAGAAAGTTTCTTGACATATTTTAAGTTTGCAGGGTCCCAAATGTAGATGTCCTGTGATTCATCAGCTGAAAACCAACAAAAATAAAATAAATGATGGGAATAACCATTAACGGAAATAAAACAATGAAACAAGGTATCTAGGCTTGTTAAGATATTAGTCCAAAAGAGAAACCAAAAAATTCAGGACCCTATTCTTGAAAACAATAGAATCGCTGAGGGAAAATGGGTGTTGTTCTCTTTCCGGGGGAACATTCCCGAATTCTGACTGCTGTTGATATTTTTCAAACAAGTACTATATCATTAAACATTCAATCACAAATCTAGCTTTGCCTTCACATATGAGACATAGATGGTGGTGAGACTTCTGTGCTTTTTCTCCTGAGAATGAGTTGTGGAGTAACTCTTCTATCAATGTTTAGGAATAGTGCAACAAAAGGTAACAGGTAAGTCACAAACACTTTCTCTCAGTTATTCTTATTCCTCATTGCAAGAATTAACCTCCAGGAATCCAAGTCTTAAAAATGAGGAATAACTAACAGAAAAATATGGGTAGTTACCATTGAATCTTTCATCACAAAATTAACTTAATTTTTGGAGATCATAATAGTGGATGCTGTCACACTTTTTCTCCTGCTATTTGACCAAATAATGACCAAGAGACCAATTTTGCTATGGATATTTTTTTATAAGATATAATTCTTAGAAAGGTAATGGATGCACTCAATTTTATTAGTTATATATATATATATATATATATATATATATATATGTCCCTTGATGTTTTCAATAATTGATCTCTAAAGCTAGGATGTAGAAAAAAACTCTACTGAACTTTGGTCTAAGTGTTTGAAATACATACAGATAATAAATACATAGATATATAATCTGCAATAGTTTACATACTAGATTTCAAGCAAACATTATGTTTGAAAGACAAAGTCACATTTTTATCAAAAAATGTGTTTCAACATTTATAGGTCGGCAAACTTGAAGGCTGGGAAAGTCACTTCATTAAACAAAAATTTTATTATAATTTTATTGAGTATGAATTTTTAAAGTGTTTATTTACCTGTAACTAAAAATTTACTATCACTAGAAACAGCTACTGCATACACCTTACTACCATGACCTCGTATTTCTGCAGAGCTTTGATTTTTCACAAATGGCAGCACTCCAACTTTTTTATAGTCTGTCAAAGAGTATTTCACAACTACCCCATCTGCACTTCCAGCAAATACAAACTTGCTGTCTGATGTGACACACATGCATGTTATGCTATTCCTTTGCTCTCTACATTTCAATATGTTTATGTTTTCTGTATCTACACTTTTATAATTGTCTGCGACGTTCAGACGCAGCCTCCCAGTCTCCTTGAGATAGTCCTGTTTAAGCCTCTTTGATATGATGCTTTGATCTATTTCATTGCTCTCTAAACGAGCTTGTTCTTCCTTTTCTATTTCTTCTAAGTAGGCTTTGGCTAACCTAAGTTTTTTCTCTTGCGCTGTTTCATGTTCTTCGTCAGAAGAATGGTCTGGTATCTCGTCATTTGGCCCCTCGTCTTCACTGCTCGTGATTTCCTCATTTTTTGAAGATTCTCCGTTTACCCTTTTCCTTTTGACGTTAGTTTTTGTGAACTTCGCCCTTTTGTTGGAATTACCTCCGGATGAGTTCTTGTTTCTTATGAAAAACGACATTCTTTACACCTTTCAAGTATATTTTCAAAAGGATTTACACACGTGTGACGTACTTGGTTTTTTGAGGTTATGGGGAAAACATAACCTCACAGTGACAGAAAGACAAATGCAAATGTACGGGCGTTCTCTGACGATCTGTACGTGAACTATGAATAAAGGGGACCACGCACTCACATAATAGTTTTGTAAATAAATGTGATCACGCACTCCCACTTGTTACAATAACTGAGGAGGCTAAACATGATGATTCTTTTTATCAAACATGATTGTGTGTATAGATCACATCAAATGAAGAGTGTAGGTCACATTAGAGAAACTATATTAGTGACAAATTTTCTTATAGATTCTTGTGAGAAACAAATAAAAATCACACCTAAATAGTTTTTTAAATATTTTATGTAAAACAATTATATACCTATGTACATACGTTCGTTATAAATATTAAGTCCACGCATTGAAGGCCTACATCTTGGTGAGTTCGGCTGGAAAGATCGGCAGGTTCTATTAAGGAAAATTATCATTTTCTAATCAAGTCTTTAACTATACTTCGATATCGTTCCACCATCGGAGTGTATATCTCTGCCGCGTCAGGGTAGGGTTCACATGCCAATTCCGGCTGCGGCAAGTTGTAAATCATATCTCCGTAGGACATGGAAGGCTTCAATAATCCGTGTTTTGCTTGATAGCCGGCACCTATCATTGCAGAGTTTGCTTCTTTCTGGAAGTATAAGATCGACCATGCATTCATATGAATGAAAATCTATGAATTTTGTCATAGCACAAAAACAGTAACATCTCATGAATATCTAAACTTTCGCATTAACTAAGCTACAGATAAAGTCATCAAATGATATCATTGACTTACAAATACATATACAGGTGAGTTGAACACATCAGCTAATACTTGTAGTATGCCTTTATTTTGTGATGCACCGCCTGTGGCTAGTATTTTTGTCCCCTGTCCTGTGAAAAAACCGTATTATAAAATTTCATTGTGCTTCATTTTGATTTTGCTCCTAATAGATAACACAAGCCCACAAAATGAAAAAGTGGTGTGTGCTGGGGGTTCTACTATATTTTTCCCATCTATTTTCTCCCACTGAACACGAATCTGAAGACGGAATTAGACACGCTGGACAAATATGAATGTAATTTAGGCACTAAAATCACAAATGTTGGTATTTTTGGTAAAGGCGCATTTCTTAGAGATCTCTGAGAGACTGACTGACTTCAGATGACAAATAGATGAGAAAAATATGTTGAGGTCCTCAGTATACACCACTTTTTATTTTTTGTGGACGTGTGATATGGTTTTTATCGTTACTATTCGTTTTCTCTAAAACTGGTCAACGACCCCCAATTCTGACTTCAGGATCGTGTTCAGCGGAAAAAAGAGATGGGAAAAATATAGTACTATCACCAGCACACCCCCTTTTTGTGGGCCTGTCTAATTGATTCATTTTGCGGTGTCCATTACTATAGTAGAAAATACTGGCAATCAAAAATAGCGCATATGTAAATGTTAAAGTTAGCCTTATTCGACATTTATCACACATGAATCATCTACCGAACTGACAATAATGTTAACGTCAACCTGTGCATCAATCTCTCTAGTGTCACGAAGAAAACGAATATCTATGATTGAATGATACCGTTAGTTTGTTTAAGTTGTTACATTTTTCGTTGACTTACCAACTTGAATCCCAAAATCTTCAGCATAGGCCCGTTTCGCTAGAAATTGACCCTCAACGAGCGCCCTTACCTCCACTTCCAGGCTAGTAAATTTGCAGGTAGAACCATTCTTGGTAAACCTGTAAATAAACATTTTCAGTATTTTAAAATCTCCACGATGTGATAAAAACGTAAAAGGAACTGAATTCATCACACTGATCTTCAATTACTTATTTACCATAAACACAAACAATTACTTTTCATACAGTTATTCACCTGTAATCTCCTTGTAAAAATGGTAAGATCTCCTGTATATCGTAATATAGTCCCATATTACCAAAATTTCCTCTTGGTGTGCTGTTCAAAAGTTGATCGAATATGTCCCATGAACCATTGGCGCATTTATTTTTTATTCTTTCCCTAGTCAGAGATCCATTTTTGAAGCTGTAATGTGAAAGTATGTTGTCATTAAACGTGTATGTTAAAAATTTAATAATAATCGTTGATATTTACCATAGTAATGCCATATAAACATTCTCATCTATCGGATTGCAAAGCACATGTCCATCCAGTACCGATTTCGGTTCTTTCAGCCAGAGAAATACTGTGTCACTTGTACCCAAACTTACTGCGATCCAACCTTCATTCAGTCTCATACCTTCAAAATACGAATGAAATGAAATAGGGATGAAAAGAAAATATTCTAAACCGTACCCATTAAAGATGCTGGGTTATCTCCCGTATGAGCAATCACTCGACAGTTAGGATTGAAATTATACCTGAAAAAAATGGAATAATATATAATAATTTTAGTTATATCAAATGGCGTCAAGTAGGTTGACTCTGGATTTCCACGCAGCGCCGTCATCAGTTCATGAAGAATTATTTTCAGCGCATGTTCGACCCTCTGAGAAAAAGGTTAGCTACGAACATGTATAACAGAGAAATCAAATGGATCAAGTCAGTTAAACAGGTCCATACAATTAGTTCATAGGCATTATTTCCCTGCCCTATTGGCAACGTCGTCTCTCGATATCTAATCAGATCAGACGCGGCAGCGCGGCGATAATACCAGAACATTTATCAAGACCGGCTCGCCGGAGCAGAAACAGTCGCGTATCAAAAACATTCCTCTGTTAAGTTTTAAGGGCAAATGTACGGGGAAATGTTTGAAATAAGCATAATTACAGAGGTTGGGAGCGTATAAATATATTAACATCATAAAATTGAGATATATTTAATCCCACCCACCTACAACCCTCCATACCCTAATTTTTACTCCTAAAATTCCTATCAAAAATGAAGTTTGAACGATTTTAATTTATTTTTTTTCGTTTTTTGCCTTTCTCTTCGCCGCTACTCGATCGATTTTCAGAAACTACAAACTACGTCCTTGGCATAGTAGCAACCTTGTGTAAAAATTTTATCCAAGTCCGAGCAGTGCTTTCCACGTTATAAATGGGCCAATGATTAGCGGGCACAGAACGACAGACGTACCTACGGAAATGAATGACATGGTTTGTCGTGATGTACATGTCATATACGTACATATTAGAATGCTTCCTTGCCAGTAGGTATTAAGGAATTCAGAGATCGTTGTTGCTATCATTTTTGAGATATGAGCACTTTGTACAGAACTAACCTTTCTTTGAAATATCGTGAAATAGAACCAACATCAGAATATGACGGTACCGATTGCCCCAATTTTTCAGCCAGATTCGGTCCACAAGCATCCAATAATGTTTGATCCCATTTTTTAGTCCGAATATTCAGTAAATTCATACCGGAACCATCAGATATATCTATCGGTGCTATTTTCCCCAATAATATTGAGCAAAGAAAGCTGCTTACTAGGGATATTTTCTGAAAAAATAGATTTGTATTGATATTTCATTAAGTGTGTAATATTGAAGGTGTCTTATATCATCCCTAAGATCTCACCTCAGTGTTTTTGTACGCATCAGGTTTCGTTTGAAAAACTTTCGCTATCTGTGATCCAGAAAATCTTTCGTAGGCACGTGATCCCGTTATCTCGGCCAATTTCTAAAAAAAAAAAACAATAGTCGATCAAGATCAAAATCAATAAACTTATGACTGGCCTAAAATCATCTTTAGTCTACATGGATGAGAAAATCTTGTCCGTTCTTACTTCAGGACCACCAACTGCTTCTTCTAACTGCTTGCACTGTTTACTTGTACTAGAATCCATCCAAATTGGACTGCTGGTAACAGAAAAACTACTACTTAATTGTTGGTGGAGGAAATCGCTTGATGAAAGATTCTTCAGTGTTTCTTCGGCGCTTCTCTGCCAGTAAACTGTACCGTGTTGCTGAAAATTGCGTTCCAGTTGATTTTCTATCATTCAGATGCTAAAGCTCTACCAACCTGCCCACTTCCAGATACGGCAGCGATTTTTCCAAAATCAATTCCTTCTAGCATCAGTTTGTCCATTAGCATGTCCAAGGCTTTCACCCACATTATGGTGGGTACTGTAACATTTCTGTTATCTGCCTTATCAATGATTGCCCCACCTATGGTCCGAAACTCGGGCAGTTCTGAGTCGAAATTGACATAGACCTCTTTCAGTACTTCCAGCTTGTCGTTGAGGACGCATGCTTTTAGCTAGAATGTTTGAGTTCAAAATATATGCATAATGATTTGCTCATATACAGCGTGTTTTTAACGTTGAGCCTTTCCTTTGCCCGATGTGTAGCTCTTGTAAAAATAAGCAAATTTTTTCAAATCGTTTCCTTGGACGTTTCCAGCCAACGCGGCGCAGATTTGTTTATTACATTTGAAAAGCTAGGATCACAGTTCATTTGCAGTAATGTCGAGGTGGGTAGACATAAGCCCAATGTTGTAAAGTTGTGTTTTTGGAATCGAACCGCGAAATCTTCAAATTGTATTCATAATCATCATATGCCGTACTGGATACTTATTATTTAAGGAACGGTGAGTAGTTTCTAAAAAGGAAAGTCTCTACTTCGAGAACACCCTGTACAGGCTGTGTTTTCTGTACAAAATAATAGGTAATTCGCGCGCAAAAGTTTCCTAAGTCATCGTATTTTCATAAGCAACCATTGGCGAATTTCACTACCGATGGGGGCTCTTGTCAACAAACATGGTCGGATGGGAGTAAATTCTCCATTGTTCCGTATCACCACGTATTCCACCATTAAAATTTTGGGTGTCATATCTTTTATTTTCACTACAAAATTGTTTAAAAATAAGAGAGATTTTCTTAAGTGATTTACATCTGAACAATATCTTCTGAAAAAAAAACATTTCTCCCATTAATATTATGAATATTTTCTTTTTTAAGCATTCCATATTTCTGTTGTAGACGAAAAAGCACCGATTATTAAGTAATAATAAAAATAATCAGAATTTATGCTTTTCTAAAATATACGACTTGCAACAAAACCGCGGTTAAAATCAAGTCATTCAAGCGTCATCAACTCGTGTGTCATCTTAAACCACGTTATAACCGCGATAAATCCCATAGAAATTTTGTTTATTCGCTTGGATTTGAATAACGTGAATAAACGGAACGGTTGATTTCAAGTTACTCTCTTTTTAAGATTCAGGTTGTGACCGCCAGGGTGCGCATAGATTTTGGAATTCGCCGGTTGGAATACTTAGAATTTTAATTCTAGCATTTCCATTTGAATCTTCCGTTATTTTGTCTCCTTTGACGATGGACGGGGTCAGGAGTTATAAGCTTTTGACAATTATTTCATATCATATGTATTGATGCTAGGAAGCTTTTTCGTCCCTATTGTACGGAGTAACCCACTGTATAATATGCTACAAAAAGACGGAATGAAATATATTTTCTAATTTAAGATCTGATATACTGTCCAGCGAAAATGGGTATACTACACAGCAGGATAGTGAAAGTATAGCTGGATCGGTTCTGATCGAATCGTGCCAAAGAAACAATTCTTCAGAGGGAATGTAATAATGATGAGTGTGGGCGGTTTTTGGACTCACGTTACGTTGCCATTTTAATGCTAAATTTATCACAGAAGATGAAACCGAGAGAGTAAAAATACACTAATGGTAAAGTAAAGGAATGAAGTACAAGTTGTAATATTCTAGTGATCCTTTGAAGTAAAAAATGGTCTTATTGAGATTCTGAGAGAAGCACTGTACAGCTTCAAATATTTTGTTTTTAGATCTTGTTGTGATGAAATGTTTGAAGTTGCAGGTTTACGCAATCCTATGAAATAGTGTGAAGAAAAAAAATGTTTTTTTTTATTTTTTTTTGCTTCAGTTTTCTCTTTTCAAAACTTTGATACGACCATTTCTTGCTCGAATTTTCAATGAGAGAGGTCCCTTTTGGCTTCGATCATTGATATCTCAGGAACAAATCATCACACAGAAAATCTGAGGGCAGTTTTAAAAGCTAGAAAGAGTTGTCTGAGAGTTGCATGTTTCTTTCTTTCAGCCCTTATGAAAAAAAGAGTCAGTTATTTTTTTTGAAAAACCAAGAGCTAAATCGAGACCATCGGAATGGATATTAAATCAATAATATATTTCTATTGCGGTGTAGTATGCGTAAATCATGAACGAATCCAAGGAATTGGTTTCATTAGCGGAATTGCAGCCATGGAATCAAATCGCTAAAACGAACGATTTGGGCAAACACACTAACTTGAATCATGCGCTTAACGTTAAACTGTTTATCAACAAGTTTTAACTTTCTGCCGTTGCCGTTCCCGATTCAACCAAAGAAAGGGAGCCTGAAAATTACGTGTTTGTTGCAGACCAGCTGTTTTTTGCTCTGTTTGGCATAACATGTTTTGTTTTGTTCGGCATGGCTTCCTTTGAGATTGTTTGCTCTATTTTATATTTTATAGCCCTGATCGTACAGTAGTCGACAACCTGTCAGTAATCATGTCCAAGATCCTGCCACACAAATTCAGATGATTCTGCTACGCAATATAGATGGAATTCACACGGCTGGATCCCATACACAGTCAACGACAAGTCACCAACCACTGTACGAACAAACCGTAATAAATGATAATATGAATTACAGAGTTTGTAAATCGGCCTTAAGAATACCAACGAATGGCCGCGGTATTGTGGGAATAAAGAACTTCTCGTATTCTCCTCGTACACCGTCTTTCCTTCCCACACCTTCTTTCTTGGCCTATAGCGTCTGCGCGTCGCGTTTCACGTGTATTAGCAACGTATTCAACGCGCATCAAATGAGCAAATCATCATATTTACATTTCCAGTACCCACATTAATTCTTTCTACATTCTACAACACTTTTCTTACCGTTTGAGTGCTCAAGTCCAGTCCCAGGAACGTCCGGTCGCCGATGCTTGCAATTTCCTTCTTGGCGCTGGCGTTTGCGGCACAACTCATGTTTTTACTAGGGACCGAACGACTAGTGCACAACGTCGTATAAAATGAAAGTAGGCTTTATAACTACAATGAATCCCAGCAATTCTGTTGTAATTTGGTGTGTGGCGAGATATACCGTTGGCTTAGAGGTCAAGGATCTTGAGATAGTACCGCTGATTTTCTTATTTATGGGTTTATTATGCTTTTAATCCGAATGTCGGTGCTTTTAATCTCAGTTTCATTAGGTGGGGATTGTGTTGTTTCGTGGTTTGACATATGGAAATGCAGCATTAACGCGAATCGATATGGATACGTGCATGTTTAAGAACGATACGAGGGTTGTAAGGAAAGTATTGATGACAGCTGTTTTATGAACTGTGATTTAGGCCCGTTTCGTCAGTCGTTCCTAATTGTAGGGCGCCTTTATGGCCTCCTTGATTGTCATAGTTTTCTATTTTTCCATGTCAGTGCTCTATTTTGAGGTTATGTCACAAACATCTATTTGCATCAAATTGTGCTTGCTCTTGAGTTATATCATGTTTTATCAGCCTGAAATTTCCTACAATTTAAAAGGAAAACATATCTTCAAAATAGGAGAGCGCTGACGCTGACACGGGACAAGTGTAATCTAGAAATTTTTGAAGGAGAGAAAGAAGTATGACAATCAAGGAGGCCATAAACGCGGCCTACAATTGTAGGGACGACTGATGATACGAGCCTAAGGAACTGATATTTCCATATCACGAATCACCACTGCTATCAAATACCGTAAAGAAGCGTGACTTGATTATGACCTTGGGAACTATAGCCTATTTAAACCTGATTTACTCCGCGTCAAAACAAATATGAGCACTCGATCGCCGCTTCTATTCGCTAGTCACTGCTTGCCCAGGTACTTATGGCCCAATGGCCAACAGATGCTCGCTAAGTTGAATATAGCGCGCTGGTGGATGTTTGATTATGTGCGTGAAAAGCGCATGTGCCACAGCCGCTAAGGTTGGAAATCTGATTTTACCGTAAGGTTGCCATGGTATTCGGATATTAGTATATCCATAAAATCTTCCCTTTCTTCTAAATCACTATGAGCTCCTGACAGTTTATAGTCAGCTGCTCAAATTATATTTACTCTCGATAACCACAGTGTAAGATCAATTATGCATCGTCAAGTGTCACCTACACTAAAAATATCATTTTCTGTGTGACACTACACACGATATGACAATATGTCACACAATACTTCTAACAAATGCTTATAGTAATAATTATGGCTTTACATCCCTCATCATTATTCGAAGTTCATAATGACGTCACACTTCTAAATGACTGATATCACAAAGTAACTATATCAGATATCACAAATATTTAAAAACACCGATATCCGCCATCGCCAAAGGAAAGTTAAAGGCGAGATTATACTTCACCTTCCCTATTGCTCATGCACGTCGCCAGAAGTCAAACCATGCCTTTTTTATGGCACTGCCTCTTTCTATGTTTGACGAAATAACTAATAAAAAGCGGCATAAATCAAATCCAAGCGAATAACCAAAATTTCTGTGTTATGTACCGCGGTTATAATATGCTTGGGTTGATGACGTCAGTTACTCTAATCGCTTGAACGCGTTGGTTTTAACCGCGGTTTTGTTGCAAGTTGTTTATTTTAGAAAAGCTCGTATATAATTTCTGATTATTTTTATTATCAGTTTATAATCGGTGCTTTTTCGTCTACAACGGCGTATGGAAAATTTAAAAAAGAAACCTTCCATAATATTAATGGAAGAAATGTTTTTTTTTCATAACAAATTTTTTAATCATGGAACTATGGGTTTGTAGCCATGATAACTTTCAATTCTCTAAACTTTTCCGCATGACAAATAAAACATTCATTGATTTAGCAGAAATGTTAGGAAAAAGCGATGAAAAATAGATATTAGCAAAACCGTATTCAGGTGGACATCATCCAGTGAGTTTATATGGCCATATTTTAATATTCTTGTGGTATATAGCTACACAGGATACTTTGTTAAGCATATGAACTAGATTTGAAGTGCCCCCAACAACAGTAATGATTATAACTAATGAGGTGTTTTACTTTATGCTAAAACTGAAGTCAGCCTGTATCAAGTTTCCCAAAAATAAAGCTGAAGTACAATAAAAATATCCAATAGCCGGCAAAATTCTAACTTGTCACATTTCAGTAATAACCAGAAATATAAAACTACTCCTGAGTTGGGTAAATACCACAATTTTGAGCTGATTCATGACGTCACGGATCTTATAACCAAACTGATAACCACACTCGCTTGAACGGATCGGTAAAAACCAATCCAAAATGGTAAATACCATTTTCATTTGGTTATTCGTTCGAATTTGATTATAGAGAGCCAGAGTTACGAAACTCAAGTCCTCCTCTTTAGTCTTAAATGTTAGGCAATGATAAATACTACTGCGGATTCGCTAAAATCAAAATATATGATAGCTACATAATTGATATATATATTTCAAATATTATATCTAAATATGTTGAGCCTAATTTTTCATGAAGTATAAACGCTACCTTAATATTTTGGTGATATTTTTCTGTTAGATTAATCCATGAATTAGGGATGAGTATCAATTTTATGTTCAGTATTAAACATGAGCAAGTACGGAATTTGAAATATAAATCTTGCTTCCACACACAGTCACTGCAAAATGGGCATATCTGAACATCTTCTTTCACATTTGATTTTGCCGCTAAGTACCAAACGTACTTCGCGGAATATGCTTTATTCAGATGTATCTTCTAACTTTCATATTCACGAGGAAATACCGAACCCATACACATATTTTATGTCTCAATGTAATACCCTGATACTACCACTAGCCCTGCAACCACCCTGCAACTGTGAAATCAAACATATTTACAGTGACTTTGACATGGACTCACCTGGTGACCTACCAAGTGATGCACTTTCAATCACTTGTAACAAGTAAAGCTCACTATTTACTAGTGCGTCGATTTGGTTTGTCAGGGCTGCGTTCGTAAATTGTTACAGAGTTTTTTTTTATACTCCAACTACCACGAAGGCCTAAGGCCTAAAGACCCATTGAGTACCGTGGGGCTATGGGGGATACAGGGGAAAGGGGGAACGCCACACGGACTCTGGCGAGGGAACACGTGTGCATGCAACATTCACACATTCTGGCTCCGCCTACGAAATCCGCCGGGTGGTACCTCCACGTTCGACAGTCAGAGACCATCTAACACCTACGGACAATCACAACATCCATAGCCAAGAGAAAAATTTCTCCTGGGACGGGACTCGAACCCGCACAGCGCACGGCGACTGATCAGGAGACCGAAGAATCTACTACTGCGGCCACCGCTGCTGCCTTTGTACTACTCTGTGACAATTTCAGCGTTCTTAATTGTTCGACATACCTATTCCATGCATTCAGAAATAGAACAAAGTAATCCTCCTGGAACGTCAAAAGTGCACTTTTCTTTCCTTGCTCAAAACCTTGGGAACAAGAGTGTTGTTACTTGCGATTATCATAGTTCATCGTTTGTTTACTTTATTTGGTTATCAAAAAGTGCCCGAAATTGGCTTATAATATATATATATATATATATATATATATATATATATATATATATATATATATATAGCAACATCCTCACATACCACTGTAAGTTAAGTCAATTTAAATTCATTTTACATTATTGTTGCTACTGTTATCAATGTAATTGCAGCTCCTGATGATGATGGCAAAGTCCATTGAAAGCTAGAGAGAATAAAAAAGTATAAAGAGTCCTCTTTGCTTAATTTTTTGTCGAAGTACCCAACAAAAGGCGGAAGCTTTAATTTTTCACCTAACTGGTCTAGACGACAATGACCACGTCTCAAGTTATATATATATATATATATATATACAGGGTGACTTCGAAGTTGAGGCATTTATTTTAACAGTGAGTAGATCTGATCAAAAGAAATGTTTTTTTCCTTTACCATTTTTCTGGTAAAATTAAAGTAACAAAGTTATAGCCCTTTGGAAGTTTGAGTACCGCCTTGTCTCGATAATAATATTATGTGCTCGTGTTTGGCGACAACGGATATAATCCGCCTTATCGGTTCATCGCATCGGAAACAAAAAAGCGAAAGAATTTGGAACGATGTTTTTACAATTATTTCATTCAGTTGTATACAGTCAGTGTCAGTCGGTAACGTGTGAGTGAATAGTGGTGTCTGTTGCGTGGCTCAAACGAAATCAAAAATGGCACATGTTTACGAAAATGCTGAACTTGTGGACATGATTCTTATTTACGGGGGGGGAGTCGGTTTCCCAATCGAGTGCAACCAACTCCTCTTGCCTTTGTTAATGTAGTACAAAGGGCTCGTGACTTAAGACCTCACAGGGGAGGGAATATGCCGGTGCTCCAAGACCGCACGATCACATACAGGTCCGCACTGAAATACTTGTCGGGAGGATACTTTATAAAACAAGGTAACATTTTTTTTTCATTTTTTTTATTTTTACACACATATTTTGGTTTATCTTCCTTCTACAATCATTATCTGAAAATTAATGACTCAACTTCAAAGTCACCCTGTATATATACGATGAGTGGGCTACCTCGTTCTTTTATATTAAATACAATGATCATAGAACACGTGATTAGAAATTAGTCTGCTGTCTTTAAATGTCATTACATGACTCTGCAATAATTTTGGCGTTTTAAAAATAGTTATAATAATAATAGTAATAAATGGGCTTTATTTCGTACAAAAGTACACAAAAGCCGAAGTGTCGCTAATAGTAGCGTTTTTCAACTTTGAAAAAAGAAAAATGTAATAAAACATTCAACCAATAGAAATATATGCATCCTTTTTTAATAATAACTAATTAATTAACAATACAAAAATGTTTTGGAATGTAACAGGCAGATCATTAATAGCGTTGTAGCTAAATGATTTTTTGTAGACATCCTGAGAATGTAAAGGTATCACTAACATATTTCTATTACTTATATTCATTTGATTTATGTCACTACATCGTGCTAACTTTTTATGCAAATATCGTGTTTTTTTGGTAGCTAACACCTTATGTGTGAGTGTCAATGAGTGGAGTTTTTGCATGCCTCTAATCTGCAGAATACCAAGTTGCTTGAATTTATAAGAAATATCATCAAACTTCAGTATTCCGCAAGAAAATCTGACGCCCGAATTCTGAATACGCAGTAATTTGATTTGTTCACTATATGATAGAGCGCGGCCATATATAGTGTCACAATAACTTATCTTTGACATAATCAATGTTTCACACAGTTTCAGCTTTAGTGAAGTTGACATTATTTGTCTATGCGGATAAAACTGCTTCAAAATGCAGTATGATGCACTACATAACGAATTTACATGCTTTTTGTATTTTAGCTCTACGTCAATCCAAAGTCCCACGTTTTTACACTCATTCATTATAGGAACCCGGCCATCATAGATTTTAAGGTTAATTTGCGTTTCGACCGATGTTCTTTTGTTTTTTGCACCGAAAACCATAACTGAAGGTTTAGATGGACTAATTTTTACTCTACTAGCCTTGTCAAATCTTCGTTGAGCAATGCCTCTGACATTTTAAAATCTTTTTGTTGTAAATTTAAATAATTTTGGATATCATCGGCATAGTGATGGGTTGTACAATTATATATAGGGTTGGCCATATTCGACGAAAAGATGGGGCAACACTGTAACTTTTGACAGAGACGACAGACCGAGTAATGACGTAGCGCGTTTGAAGCATCAGTCTAAGGAGATTTTTGCAATGGAGCAGTGCACTCAAAGGTGAACGCTCTCAGATTGTTGAAATTTACATTCAACAAAACAAGTCAATTGTGAAAACTCAACGTGCATGGAGAAAAATAAATAAAGTGAAAACTGCGCCTTCCACATTGTATCGTTTGTATGAAAGATTTTCATCAGGTGAGGCACTTACTAATCCCAAGCGTCCAAATAAAAAGCGACCAAGGCGATCGGATGAAAATATTGCACTCGTACGGACCAGTGTTCAGAGGTCTCCAACAACATCTCAAACACGTCGATCTGAGCAGTTGGGCAGAAAACGAGCCACTTTACGTCGCATATTGCGTCATGATTTGCATTTGCTCCCATACGAAATTCAACTGACGCAAAACCTGTTACCTGCCGATAAGCCACGTCGATTGAAATGGGCCCGAAGATTCATCGAAATGGCTGAAAGTGACGATCATTTTTGGCAAAAAAATCATCATGAGCGATGAATCTCAATACATGTTAACCGGAGCCGTAAAAAAACAAAATTGTCAGTTCTACGGTACTGAAAATCGTCAAATTATTCACGAGGTACCTCTTTATGATCAAACAGTGACTGTTTGGTACGTTATTTGTGCTGGTATGGTCATTGGGCCGTTCTTTTTCGAAGATGAAGCTGGCAAAGCGGTTACCGTCAATCAGGAGCGTTATCGCGATATGGTAACCGATTTTTGATGCCAGTTGTTCGTGACAATGGTATGAAGCATTTCTGGTTTCACCAAGATGGCGCTCCACCACACACAGCTCGGGCTACTATCGATTGTTTGAAACGATTGTTCCCTGGACGTCGAAAAATGGTGGTTTTGACTGGCCACCGCGTTCACCAGATTTAACGGCTCCAGACTTCTTTTTGTGGGGCTACTTGAAATCGAAGGTTTATGTCGACAAGCCAAGGACCCTAGACGCACTTAAGGCCAACATCCGACAGGAAATAGCCGCCATATCAACCGAAACATTGGCCAAAACGATAGAAAATGCTGCATCACGGGCACTTTACGCTGTACAGGCTCATGGCGGTCATTTAAGAGATATCGTTTTCAAAAAATGGTGTTCACAAATCTCCTTGAACCCAAATAAACAATTTTTGAAATGAACCGTAAAAAAATGTGTTTTTTCCTACAATTTAAAAAAAACATCTTTTCGTCGAATATGACCAACCCACATACTGATGAAAATCTGATATACGAGCTCCTTCCCACTTCAGTTGGCCCTCTTCAAGATTTGTACCAAAATATGCCTTTATAAACTAAACATGACGAAACTATTTACTTCTAAAACAATTTATTTTCTCAAAAACATTTTAGATACATTGTAGTCGTAAAAAATACATATTTGAAATCACTTAGACCTATAACTAATAGAACATCTGAACAAATAAACAATGTGCGAATAAATGCGCGAAGTTAACAAAGCAACAATTGAAAGATTACCATTGGGTAACATCACCTTTATTATTTATTACGACAGAAACTCTTTGAGGCATAGTGTTAACCAAGTTTTGTCAAAAATTTGGTGTAAAACAATCCCATATTTCTTGAAGCTTTTGTCTCAGTTCGGTGATTGTACGAGCAGGATGTTGTCGTAGAACCTTTTTCATCTCGTGCCACAAAGCTTCAAGCTTCAATAGGTGGCAGATCTGGACTGCTAGAAACCCGTTTCAAAAGTGGTACATTATTTTCTTCCATCCATTTTTTAGCCTTTTTTGAGGTATGGCACGCTGCACCATCTTGCTGAAACACAAAATCTTGGCCGGATGTCAAACATTCTTCCATCACTGGTAAAAGCGATTCTTCTAAAATTGCCAAATATTTGTTTGCATCCACATTTCCATCAATAAAATGAAGTTTTCCTACTCCTTTTGATGACATACTGCCCCAGACCATAATGGATGCTGGAAATTTCACTTTTCTCTTCAGAGAGTCAACATGGAATGCTTCATTTTTTTTGCGAATAACTCTACTGCGACAGTCACCAACACAAACTTCGAATCGGGCCTCATCACTCTATTGTATTGCATAACACTGTTGAGGTGTCCATTGTCTATGTTCTTTAGCCCATCTAAGCCGATTTTTCTTTTGCAGTGGAGTTAAT